GACAGGTTGGCCTTTCTCCTCTCGGAAACGATAGAGAAAGTCACTCATGTTCCAAACACAGCATACGCTCCTGGGATTGAATGTAAGGACCGATTGCTGACCAGCAGGCACACAGTAGGGCCGTGGAGGACGGGCAGGCGGACAAAGGCCCTGTCCTCAGGGGCCGGGGAGTCTCCGGGACTTAGACGCGCCCACAAATGACTGAATTGCAAGGTGGACGAAGGCTCCGGCTCCACCCAGCCTGGCCCGGGACCAGAGGAGAAAGATGGCGCACAGCCTGGGAGTCTGCAGGGCTTCGTGGAGGGGGCAGCTCAGGGGGGAGGGAGACACAGACAAGGTGCTTGTTTTCATTGTTGATGTCATGTCCCTTCCCTTCTTTCCAAAAGGAGGCAGCCCTGACCTTGCTGGGAGGGGAGATGGAAGATGAAAGCCCGAAAAGACGTTGATGGGGTCCCCATTGGTGGGCCCCAGAGAGGCCAAGGGGCAGGATCGGGGTCCAGGGGACGGGGCAGGCTGGCCCACAGGAAAGGAGCCGGGCCCGGGCACAGGAGGAGGGATTCTGAGTCCGAGAGGAGAGCCGCCGAGGCGACACCAGCTCAGCGCTCGTGCCTTGCGCGGAAGCCGGCTCTGTGCTGGGTGCCAGGCGCGAGGTCGAGGGTTTGCCGCTCTCCTGAGGGTGACGGGAGACCATGCGGACGAGCGTGGGGATTCCAGGCTGCAGTGTCTGCAATGCTGTCTCCTGGCCGAGGAATAGGACGATCACACTACAGAAACCTAGAAATATAAAACTGACACTTCACCCGGCCGGCGAGGCTCAGTGGTTGAGCGTCGGCCTATGAACCAGGAGGTCACGGTTCGATTCCCTGTCAGGGCACATGCCCGGGTTGTGGGCTCAATCCCCAGTGTGGGGCCTGCAGGAGGCAGCTGATCGGTGATTCTCTCTCATCATTGATGTTTCTTTCTCTCTTTCTCTCTCTCTCTCTCCCTTCCTCTCTGTGATCAATAAAAATATATATTTTTAAAACTGACATTTCATTCCTGACCAAGGGGCCGTGAGAGCTGGTCTCGAACCTGCGCGTGTGGTGTCCCTCCCGCACGGGCCCTGCTGGGCAGACAGCAGGTTCGGCTGTGCCTCCCTTGGAGGCCACATTCTTTCCTAGATCTCGCCCCACATCCACACCCACCACCCAAGCGACGCACAGCCGGACAGGGCACAAGTGACTCAGCCACTCCCGCCACGTGAGGAAAGCGTGGCTGCGAGAAAAGAAAGCTGAGATCTGGGTCACCGTGTGATCAGACTTGTCAACAGCTGGTGCCCACGTGCACACCCCCCTGTCCGAGGCCCAGCCGGCCCAGCCCACACCGCCTGGAGGCTCCCGGGGGCAGTGAGGGGAATGAACGGATCGGAGACACGGTGTCACCCTTGGCCCTGGACCACGTGGCTTGCAAGCTGCGGTCGCTCATCCAAGCGAGGCTTTCAAACAGCACCTTTGTCATCTGGACTCTAAGTCTCTGGACCAGGGACATACTCCCAGGAGGCGTGACTAGCACCGTCATGCTTTAGACTCCGAGGGCAGAGCTGGACTTCCCAGGGGGCCCGCAGCCTGGACAGATTAGCAAAGCGGGGCGGGGGGTGGGGGGGCGTGTTGGGTGAAGAGTCGGTCCCACTAATGCTCCACAGACTCTGTAAACCAGGAAACATTCTAAGCATAAACTAGTGCATCTGCAGAGCAGTGCACGCCCACACAGAACTGTCCTTCCCATCCTGACTGGACACGTCTAACACATGTCGATCTGTGTGGATCCGTGTGTGTACAGCACGCACGCGTGTGTGTAAGATGCAGGCGCGTGCTCGCGGGTGCTTAGCCCTTGCCCTGGAGACCTCGCTGAACCCGTCATCTCCGCTTCCCATGGCCAGTGGACAGCGACCCGCTGCTCTCTGCCTCCGGGCAGGTGGCGAATTAATAACCGTCCCCGTCACGGAGTCTGAATGCCAGGCCCGCAGGGGTTATTCCCTACATATAAGCAAACAACATTTCCATTTTGAACAACACTCCAAACCTCCTCATTACATGTTAAACAGATTTAACGCACAGAGGTTACACGAGCCCTGGGCTGGGGGCGTGCATTCTGGCCTGACCCCTCCCCACAGCCAGGAGCGTGGCTAGCAGGGGCACCTCCAGGGCCTCCGGGCTCGCCCCACGGGCGCCTGGCCTCCCCTCTTCCTTGTTCTCATCTGCAGATGATTCGGAACGCCGAAGAAGTGTGGGAAGCCATTAACGCCCGTGCCTTTCTCTCCACCCTGAATTTATTATTTAAGAGCAACTCGCACCCACAGCTTATCAATAGGAAGAAGAGGAGGCAGAGGTTAAGTATTTAGCAAGCACCCAGGGTGGGGTAAGTGCTGACGGGGTGGACTGTCGGGTTAGGGAAGGTCCTAGCCGGCACTTCTGTGGAGGCTGAGTTTTAAGTTCCGACAGTTGAAATAATTTCATTAACGGCTTCTTTGCTTTCAAGAGTCCTCCCGACTTTCTGATTCCGAACTGAGAGCAGAACCAGGAAGCACAGGGTGAGAAGCCAGAAGCAGAGCTGCCGCAGTGAGGTCTGCAGCCCCCGGGAGGGGACCCGCCCCGAGCGCTCCCCTCGGGCGTGTGGCAGCCGTTGGCCCGAGATTCGGCCTCTGGTGAGTCACCCTTTGCTGAGAGGACCCCGATTCACTGCAGGCTCTGACCATTATTATTATTATGATGATGATTATTACTAAGAGCTTAAAAAAATAAATCTGGATCCTCTCACCTCCCTCCTAATCTCTCGTCGGTTCCTTCTTTAAGAAAGTTATTCTAGCCTGAGCCGGGTTGGCTCAATGGATAGAGGGTTGGCCTGTGGACTGAAGGGTCCCCGGTTCAATGCCCGGGTTGCGGGCTCGATCCCCAGTGGAGGGCGTGCAGGAGGCAGCCAACCAATGATTCTCTCTCATCATTGATGTTTCTATCTCTCTCTCCCTCTCTCTTCCTCTATGAAATCATAAAAATATATTTTAAAAAAGAAAGAAAGTTGCTGTACATAAGGAGTGGGGAACATCCGGCCTGTGGGCCATATAAGGCTGCAAACTCATTGGGTGAGTGAATTCAATGTTTGACCAATACAGCAGGCTAATGTTTAAGCTGATAACTGTGTTTGGCCCGAGAATGACGTTATAAACACCCACAGGGCCCTGAGCAGGAAAGGGTCCCCACCCCTGGTGTACACAGTGCGAGCTCCTTGAGAACCCATTTTCCTGAAAGATTCCCGCTCACAGCATCTGACCTTTCTCCCCCATCCCCAACCCCCAACCCCTGCTGGTTGCCAAGAGAGACCCCGATGCCCCTCCCAGCACCCAGGGCATGAATGAAAGGGAGGGCCAGCGCCAGGCCGAGGCTGATGGTCGAGCCATGAAGCCAGCCTCAGGGAACGGGACTCCAGCCCAGGTCAGGCCCACGCCCGCTGAGACTTCAGTCCCGGGGACAGGGGGTACGGGACGCGACCTCAGGCCCCGTCAAAGCTGAGTGAGTGGAAGCAAGAACAAGCGGACGATCTGTACAGGCAACAACGTGGGTGGACCGCAGAAGCTCCATGAAAGAGCCAGACCCCAGGCCACCCATGGGCCACGCGATCCCACGTGTCTGATATTCCAGATGGAGGCAGAACTATCAGATCCGCGTTGCCCGGGGCCGCCCAGGGGGCGGACGACAGGGACCCCAGGGGACTGCATGTGGGGGGCTCTGCTCTAGATCTCAATAGCGGTGCTGGTCACCCAACCGCACAGATTTCCCAACACTCACCCACGGACACACAGCAAGGGTGTTACTGAGTGTGAACCGTCCTTATTAAAGCGGAATTAAAACAGCAGCCAAGGAGCAGGAACAAAGGAGGAACGACTGGGTCACGGAGGCGCTGAGATGGGGGAGGGAAGAGCTTCCACGGGGGGGCAACAGGCACCCCTTAGCGTACCCCCAGGGCAACAAGGAGACTTGGGAGGAGTTGGGGAGCCCATCCCCAGATCCCAGGGGGCTGTCTGAATTCCAGGCTCCACTCCAACCAGGCGAGTTGACTGCCTCCGTGTTAGTCACTGAGCTCACAGTTTCCAGCCCCAGGGTGTCTCCTCAGGCAGGGCCACTGGCATTAAGCACCCTGAGACCATCCTTCCGGGAGCACTGGGCCCAGCTGCCGGGGTGTGAAAGCCCCACAGAGGCGGACGCTGAGAGACGGGGAAAGCCGCCGCCGCCCAGCCAGCTCCGCCATGGCCCACACCTGCCGTGAGGCAGCGGGCCGCCCTGCCCTGGTCCCAGGTCCCCGCTGAGGAGCTCGCCACGGAGCCTGGACAGACACGCCTGGCAGTGCAGGCCAGAGGGTGGCCCACGGTCAGCGCGCCCTGCAGACAGCCCGGAGGGCCTGAGCCTCCCCCCGGGCGGGTCCTGGCCCTGCAGCTGCCACAGGGACCTCGGTGGGGCTGACAGGGCACCCCCACGAGGGGCGGGGCCTGGGGAGGGAGGCAGCCAGAATCCGCTTGGCTATTCCATCGCCTGATCACAGGCCACTTAAAGAGCAGGACCTGCTTCCTTCCGGGCCCAAACAGCGGACTCAAGCTCACGATTAATCACACTGCCAGGTGTCCTGGCGGACAAACGTTGGTCTTTTATGATGAGCACCTTCAGGGTTTGGGAACAAAACGATACCACGAAGCAGCTGCTTGGCCTTTTAACTCTGTTCTCTCCACGCCCATGGCAGGGACACTCACAAGTTATCTTCACCAGGAGCACCTTCCCCTCGGCCAGGTCAAAGGTAGGCGTCAGCCCGGACTCCACAGCGATCGTGAATCACACGTGGGGGCGAGGGGGCGAGGGGACCCCGGGCTGGGGAACCGCCCACGTGGACCAGGTCAGGGCCGCCCGGGGGCGCGTGCGGTTGGGGGGGGGGGACTTACTGCCGCCCTTCCCGCTCTTCTCCATGCGGTACTGGTAGATGTGCAGCGTGAAGAGCATGTGCGAGTTGCGCAGGTCGTCCTCGTCGCAGTCCTGCCGGTGGCCCCGGCGCGCGGCCAGGGCGGCGTCCAGGAAGAAGGCGGCCTTCTCGGCCGTGGGCGCCCGCAGCTCGCTCTGGTTCTGCAGCTGGAAGACACAAGCCGAGAGCTGACACCCGTCCGGGGGGCCGGCCTGCCCTCCCACGGCTGTCTGCTCAGCATCGCAAAGCTGCGTGCCCCTCCACGGCCCCAGGTCCTTCCAGAACACGGGCCACAGGCGCGTGCAGTTCTCAGCTTCATTCACTCATTGCTGACGATTCCCGTTGGGCACACTTACTGGAGGGCATTTCCCCATTTTACAATTTAAGTCGCATCTGTAAACAGCAGGTGTGAAAAGCAAGGGGATGGGCCAACCGTCGACCTGCAAACCGGGAGGTCACCATTCGATTACCAGTCAGGGTACATGCCCAGGTTGCAGGCTCCATCCCAGTGGGGGCGGGCAGGAGGCAGCCCATCAATGGTTTTCTCTCTCTCTCCCCCTCCTTCCTTTCTAAAATCAATCATATATATAAATAAAAGCAGCCCTAGCTGGTTTGGCTCAGTGGATAGAGCATCGGCCTGTGGACTGAAGGGTCCTAGGTTTGATTCCAGTAAAGGGCACATGCCTGGGTTGTGGGCTCAGTCCCCCAGTGGGTGGCATGCAGGAGGCAGCCAATCAATGATTCTCTCTCATCATTGATGTTTCTATCTCTCTCCCTCTCCCTTCTTCTCTGAAATCAATAAAAATATAAAAAAACAAATAAAAATAAATAAAAAAGCAAATGGGTGTATCTGAGTGGGAGCAGAAGGCCCCAGAGGACAGCCCACCAACACGCGGGGCAGTCCGTTCACCTAAGGCTGTGGTCGGCAAACCGGGGCTCGCAAGCCACATGCGGCTCTTTGGCCCCTTGCGTGTGGCTCTTCCACCAAATACCACGTGCGGGCGCACACGTACAGTGTGATTGAAACTTCGTGGCCCATGTGCAGAAGTCGGTATTTTGTGGAAGAGCCACATTCAAGGGGCCAAAGAGCCGCATGTGGCTTGCGAGCTACGGTTTGCCGAGCCGCAGTTTGCTCACCACTGACCTAAGGGAACCCCGGGGAGGGGCCTGCGTCTGACCGCACAGGTGAGATGGCTGCAGGCAGGCAGGCAGGCCACGAAGTGTGATTCCACTTCTGTGATTTACTGCATGGCGCCCCAGAGAAGTAGAAGAACTTGGTTAGCTTAGCTCAACTCTCCGTTTTTCTCAGCCGTTTAATTAAAGCCAATTCTAGGCCACATTTCCTGGCATGGTTATAAGCAAGACGTAAGTGTCAAAGACGAATGAAAACACCCAGGATGCTTGGAAGCCTCCTCTACGCTATTTAAGGGGCGTCTATTTTTATCTGCAGTCACTCAATCCATGTGCTTGGCATCCTCATTAATGGGCTAAAGACAGCACTGTGGGCAGCGTGTCTGAGCCCCCGGGACGCCCTGGCAAACACAGTAAACCCTCAACAGAACAATGGCGCCCTTTCTGGGGAGAGAAAAGGAAATTCATTATTTCTGATTTTTCCAAAGAAATGATTTGCAGGAGATGTCTTAGGGTCGGTACAAATTCTGAAAACGTTCTGCTCTGACTGTAGCAATCCCTATCGTTCTGAACTGTGAGGGCTGCTATTTGGAATCTGAGACCATAAAAATCCTCAAACTTCAAAGAGAGATTCTGTTGTGTTGGTTGTTTTGTACTCAGTTTGACAAAATAAGCCAAAGACTTTTCACCAAGAAGAGTGAACATAAAGAGCATGTTGGTCTCTCTCTTTTCACCTTCAGTTAACCTGCACCTTCACCTCCAGGGACCTGCATTAAGGCACAAGTGGGTGGACCCTGTAGCATAGTTGAGGGTGCAGGTAACTCTTGGAGCAGGAGCGGGAGGGGGGGGGCGCTGATCTCCATCATAGGTGCCGGGTAGGTGCCATCTGAGCATTTCCTCTGCTACAGAGGGTGGTCCTCAAAGTGGGTCCCTGGACCAGCAGCAGCACCGGGAACTCGCTAGAAACCCACACTCTGAAGCTCTGACCAAGGACCACTGACTGGGGGAGGCTGGAGGCGGAGCCCAGGTGTCTGTGTTAACAGGTCCCCCAGGGGGCTCTGATGAAGACTCACATTTGAGAACCACGGCATTAGAGTTTCCCCGACCAACTGGTTTGCGTCCTAATTAGGTTCCCCATCCAAATGGCATCCGATGCATCTGCTACAACTATGAGCAGCCAATCCTGGTCAGACATGGTGCCCGCCCTCTGGGAGTTGCCGAGAACTCACCGGCCATCACAATACAACTGCTACGCGCGTTCTAGTGACAGGAGAAGCATCTGGGAGGGCTTCCTGGAAGAAGCGACAAGCTAGCTGACACCTGAAGGGTGAGGAGTTCGCCAGATGAAGAGCGAGGGGAGGGGGAGTCTCCGTGCACAAGGAATAGAGCGTGCAAAGGCCCTGGGGTCAGAAGGAGCAACGCCGGTGCCTTGGAGCTCTGCTGCTGCAAGTGTGGGCAGCATTGGGAAGCTCATGGGAGAGGCATAACCACCCAGACTTGCTGAACCAGCGTCTGCATTTGTAACAGGATCCCCAGCGATTCATAGGCCACTGAAGTGTGCGGGCACCGCTTTCTAGGTAATTCATTAGGAGCGGCGGGAGGGGAGGGTAAGAGATGACGCTAGGAAGGTCCATGCAGGGCCTTGTGAGTCATGAAGAGCTTGGGGATGGAGGACTCTTAACTGGAATGGGAGCCTCTGAGCCGGAGGAAGAACGCGGTTGGGTGTGAGAAGGGGATCCTAATCTTCGCCTGAACGCCTGTCTGAACAAGGAGGCATCGGGGAGGACCAGGCAAGAGAGCCGACTGCTGGAGCCTGGAGAATGGTGCCGGGACGTGAGCCAGGCTGCCCAGCCCTGTGCCATCTCTCGTCGAACAGCAGGAAAGCAGCATTCGACAGGCACGGCAGCTTCCCCTGGCTCCCAGGGTCCCAGCACTCACACCGAGGTTCCAACAGCACAGCGGTCACGCATGTGACGGCAGCAGGACTCGCCCGCGGCGAGCCAGGCCAGGAAGGCCACACAGAGCCGTAAACAGCCCCGCCGTGGCCGCAGCCACGGGTGCAGAGCAGCAAATATTTCCGTTTGTTGTTAAACAAAAAAAAGATTGCACTTTCCCCCACCCCCCCCCTGAAAGGGGTGTAAAGGATGTAAATTCAATTTCCTCCAAATGCGACCACAGTGGTGAGTCCTGCTCACTGTCAATTAGGTCCGAGGTACAAATATTCAGGTTGGGCCAGCAGATGGCCCCGCAGCTGGCGGCCATGAAGGTCCAGGCCACGTGGGCGTAAACACGCGTAAGCTGCCCTGTTCCCATGCCCGGGAGTCAGCCTCGGAGGTGGGCTGAGCCCCCGGAGCCCCGGCCCCGAGCTGTCAGTCACCTGCGTGCCGCAGATGGGGTCCTCGCACAGGTACACGCCCGGGGACTGGCCGTCCTGCAGGCTGCCCGTGGCCACCTCGGACAGCAGGTCCCGCAGCTTCTCCTCCTTGCCCCACACCTCCACGGCCGAGATGCGGACGGAGAAGCGGGCGCCGGTCTTCTCCTTGCGCTCGTTGATGAGCTTGAACACCCAGGCGATGGCGCAGGGGATGATGCCCAGCCTCTGCGTGGAGTCGTCTCTCCCCGATCATGGTGTAGGACTTGCCTGGGGGGGGGGGTGGGGATGGCGTGTGAGTGTCCAGGCGGCACTACGGCCTCAGGAGGGGATGCCGAGGAGGCAGGCGAAAGGCCCGGAGGCGGGCGGGGAGGGAGAGAGGAGATGACGGTGAACGAGATAGTCAGCATTGGCGACAATGACAAGAGGCCACTTCCTGGCGCTTCTGATGAAATGGCTACAGTGGAGACCGCAGAGCCCTGGCAGGGGACGAGACTGAGTCACCAGGTACCTCCAGGAGGACCCCAAGCCACACGCCCCCCAGCTCTGCACTGTCTTACCCAGAGGGGGCGGCAGGGACTCCTCGCTATTCCTGTGTGTCATCTCACCGCCCACCTCCTCACACTCACCCCCCCGCAGGTTCAATGCTGTGCGTCTCTTTATAGCGTGAGCAAAGCCCATTAAACCCGGTCACGGCTCTGATCAGAGATGGAGAAGAGAAGGGGGCGGTGGAAGGGGCTCTTCGTTCCGGCTGGACCTGCCCTCCAGCACCAGGGCCTCTGGCGGCATCTCCGCCAAGGGACGCTTCTTACTAACTCATCCGCCTGAGGGACGGCCTGTGAGCAGGCGGCCAGGGGTCAGGGTGGAGGAGGCACCTTGGAGTTCAGCTGCCTCCCTCCCAGGTGCCTGGTGGGCTGTGCTGGGCTGGAGGGGGGGAAGCGAGGCTGCCAGAACCGCCGACGGGGCAGCCGTGGCCTGGGCTCCGCTGGGAGCTGCTCCTCTGACTGTTACGCTGGCTCCATCTCCTGCCCCCATCCTCCCAGCAGCCCCCGCTCAGGGAGGGTACGTTGTCCTCTGGCTTTCTGGGCGTGACCCTGACCTGGACCAATGGGAACACCCACTGCTCCCCTGCTCGTCTCCTGAACTTGAGGGCTTTCCCAGATGACGGGGATCCACTCAGAATGGAAATCTCATCTCGGAAGCAGAGATGCTCATTCGGGTCATTTAACTCGGCACCGAGGGGACGGCCTCTCCTCTGGCCTGAGGACCGGACGGTGCAGCGGGAGGAGCAGGGTGACGGGACCCAGGAGCAGCGCACGGGGAGCTCGGCCTCACTCACCCAGCTTGGCGTGGCCGAAGCAGAACACGCAGCCGTCCGCCCCGTTGACCACGGACTGGATCACCTCCGCCACGGTCCCAGCGCACACCTCCGCCTGCGGACGCGAGAGGAGAGCGCGGTGAGTGGGCCTCGCCGGCGGACATGAAGGAGCCGGCTCTCCCGCGCTGGGGTCACGGCCCTCCCAGACGGGACGCTAACAGGTTCTGGAGATGCTCACCCTCGGAGCCTCCCGCCCACCCCGCCGGGCGTCACACGCAGTAACTGCGAGCCCCTCTGCTCCCTCCCGGTGCATCTCGGCGCTGTCTGCAGACCAGGCAGGAGCCGCGGAGGGGACAGGAGCCTCATGGACCTCACGGCCGCCCGACACTATTCTGGCCTCCGGACGAGGCGTTAAACTTTCCATTTGCTCTCTGCTAAGTAGATCCTTCCTTACACACACACACGCTCACACACACACACACACTCACATGCACACACGCACTCACACACTCACACACACACATGCACACACTCTCACACACACACACACGCACACACACACGCACACATGCACACTCACACACGCGCTCACACACATGCACACACACGCACTCACACACACAGGCACCCATGCACGCACACAGGCACACACACGCACGCACACATGCACAGGCACGCACGCATGCTCACACACACTCACGCGCACTCACACACGTGCTCACACGTGCACACACACACTCACACACACACACTCTCACACACACACACACACACACACACACACACACACAGGCACATACTCCCTTATAAACCGGGCCAGCCCTTTTAGAAGGGAAGGGTGACCCGCCACTTCAGGAAGGTGAGACGGAGGCAGGGGGACGGGAGAGGGGAGTAGCAGGGGGGCAGGCTCCTGAAGACCCTGTGCATTTCCCACTAACACTCCTGTGCTGCACCCTGTCAACCCTAGGGCCTTGGTCCATTCTGGGACCACGCAGGAGCTCCGGGACCCGCCCTGGCCGGGCCGAGCTCACAGCAGCTGGGGAACAGAGTGATCCACTGCGCCCGCTGCCTTCCTCTCCATCCCAGCATGGAGCCCGATCTCTCGGGAGCATCGGGGGCTGTGGGAACCACAGGCGGCTCTGCAGCCAGCGCCATGGCCTCTGGTGGCATCCGGGAACCGCGGCCTCGCAATGAATGGGCTATTCAGCGCCAGGTCGCCACAGCACCGAGAACCAAGTATTCAGAAAGCAACCCCCTCTCCCGGCCCGAAATGGAAAGCCACACTCCCAGCAGCTGTGGACTGTCCCGGTGTCGCCAGAGCAGCCCTGCTGGGGGCACCGCCCAGGGGAGGAGGGCCGGACGGGGCTGACGCGGGGTGGGGACCCCAGGATCCATCACACCCCCGGGACCTGGGGCTGTAGAATCTCGGTGGAACTTGACAAAGGCTGAGCGACTCTGCCTTCCTGGGACATGGGGGAGACAGAGGTTGGAGGCTGAGAGCGCCCCCATCCATCCCCCAAATCAACGGCACAGACGCGAGGTCAGCAGGGAGCACGCAGGCTGCGTGTGGACCACAGGCCATAGAGGAGGCAGGAGGGGCCTCCGCGCACAAGACAGGCCGAGTCCCTGCCCCGTGTCCACCGAGAAGCGTGGTGAGTGACTGTCCACCTGCGGTTTGTTAGGAGCTGCCCGCAGCCCCTGGGGCCACAGGCTGCTTTCCTGGGGCCCAGAGACGCAGGCGTCCCTCCTGAGCCCAGAGCGGGGGGGGCCCAGGCCCCAGGCAGCCCTGCTCTCCCACAGGGGAGCCCTCCCCACCCTCCTGCAGGCCCGGATCTGTCCCCTCCATCACCTAGTGATGGTGTCAGGAGGCAGGCACTCCGGGAGGCGATGAGGTCATGGGGTGGAGCCTCGTGAATGGGATGAGGAGAGAAGCCCCAGGCTCTGGGTCCCTTCCACCCTGTGAGGTCACAGCGAGCCGCTGTCTATGAACCAGGAAGGGGCTCTCGCCAGACACTCTGTGCTCGGACTTCCAGCCTCCAGAACGTGAGAAATGCATTTCTGTTGTTATGAGCCACCCAGAGGGACTAGGTCACCTGCGCGAAGCCAGACCAGCAGGGGCTGCCCTGCCACAGGCAGCTGGCGACAGCCACGGCCACCGAAGGACATAGGATGCTAATAAAGGCAACAGGAGCAAGAAGGTTCTGTCATTGCTTAGCGTCAAGAAGCTGGTGTCCTGCCCAGCCCGGGTGGCTCAGTGGTTGAGCGTTGACCCTTGAACCAGGAGGTCATAGTTCGATTCCTGGTTAGGGCACATGCCCGGGTTGCAGGCTGGATCCCCAAAGAGGCCTGCAGGGGGCAGCCGATCCATGATTCTCTCTCATCATTGATGTTTCTCTCTCCATCTCCCTCTCTCTGAAATCAATACAAAAATATTTAAAATATTTTGTTTAAAAAAAGCTAATGTCCTTAGAGAGGAGAGAAAGCACAATTCATTGCTGTCTGGGCCGCTCAGGGCCCCTGCAGACCCACAGGCCGACAGGAAGAGCCTCGTGCACCGCCGGCTTCCCTGCTGTGGGGGCTCGAAGGGCGCTCGCCCGGGAGGCTGGGGATGGCCATGGCCAGCAGCTCGACGTCAGTGGCAACAGTGATGACTGAACAGCAACAACAGCTCACGTGTGCTGGGCACTGGCTAGGTTCTAAGTCCCTCGTGTGCATCATTCCATGAACCACCACAGCCTGAAGGAGGTGCACTCGGCTCTGTCTCCATCCACAGATGGGGACACTGTGACTGTCCACGGACACGCTGCTGGGAAACGTGGGTGAAGTGACAGGTGGTCACAGATGAACCCCCGACGGAGCAGGACACACAGAGGTCCAGGGGAGGGAGCTGGGAAAGACATCCCCGCAGGGAAGGGGTCATGAACAAGATGTCAGCTCCGAGTCTCAGTTTGCTTGTCCGGATGTGCAACGAGCAGTGCCTCCCTTCCTACCCCAGAGCATTCTGGGAAGATGAGTGGGTCAAGTTAGAGGAAACTTCTTGACACTAGATTTTTTCGAACTGTCACTGATGATAATGTTGGAAATGTCAGCAAACATTAAGCATCTAAAGAGAATGCTCTGTACCATCGAGCGTGCGAGCTCTGAACCGAGCACAAAGTGTAAATAAAGACTAGCAAGAAAGGTGCCTCCTTTCCCTGGAATGAATCTGAAATGCACTCGTAGTCCGAGCTGAGTTTAGGGTTTGCGTTGGAATTCTTACAACTTGGGGAGATCTGCTTTGGAAAGTGTTCACTGCGTTAATTAAATGATGTGTGGGGCATTTGTTAGACCCACTGTCGGGTTTAGATGGGGGAGCCCAGGGGGTGGTACAAAACACAACCTATGCAAAGAAGAGGAAAACTGTTTAGAGGCTATCGGTCACCCTCCTGCACACTGTCGTGTATAAGTGTTGGAAAGCGCTGGGCATTTATCAGGGAGGCGCAGGTGTCTGGTGTGAAAATGCGGGCTCAGCAGGCCACTGCATCCCTACAGCCTGGGTGTAGTCTCTACGAGAAGGTTCAGTTGCTCCAACTCATTGCCCAGGAACTGCCCCAGATGGTGCAGCTAATCTCCCATCAGACATCTGCTCCTGCCGGGATGGGCTCCAGGAGCGTGGGTCTGGGGATCTTGGCACCCTGAGCTCCCAAGATTACAGTCAGAGCCGATAAACAAAAATGGCCACAATTCCCGACCCGTCCGTGTGCGCATGCCCCTGGCAATGTGACTTTGCAGCCCCTCCAATCAAGAGGCGGAGTCTCTTCCCCACCCCTCGAACCTGGGCCAATGGGACACGCACAAGAGCTGGCGCTTCCGTTCTGAACCTGGGCCTAAGGGCTGCAGGCTGGGGCCATGCCATGGCCACGAGAGTAAGTCCAAGACGAGACGATGTGGAGGGAGACCAGGTGACCAGCCAAGGCCGTTCTAGAACCCCCCAGGCATGTGACAGCATCCAGCCTCGCTCAGCAGAGCTGATCACAGACACACAAGTGAGCCAAGCTGGGAGCAGGAGGACGCTCAGTGCACCCACCGACTCATGAGCAATAGTAAACGCTTATCGCTTTAAGCCGCTGAATCTTAGGGTGGTTCGTAACGCAGCAGTAGCTGACTGGTTCAACAGCTACCCCCACCCCCTCTTCTCCCCTCTTCCCGTCCACTCCACGGGTCCAGGCCACAGGACTGCATGCCAGCCTCAGTTTCCCTGCCTGTGCTCCAGTTCCCCGTCAGGACTATAGACCGGCCTCCTATAGCTTCTAGGATCCTGCCTAAATCTAACCCAGCTCCCGGCAATGCTTTTCCCCCTTACACACCCACTCCCAGAGGTGGGGGCGGGAGCGGGGTCCTAATAGGTCTCCAGGTCGTGGTCCTGAAACTTCCAACTCTCTCCACCACCACCCGCTTCCGGGTGGCACCCACTGGCTGGCTCGCCCCTCCTTCTCCCCAGGATCTGTCTTGTTGAAATCCTGGCACAGTGGTCCTGCCCACAGTGTAACTCCAGTGACTCAAAAGAAGGGACTGTCCAATGGAGCCCAAATGGGCTCCTGTAGGTGGAGGGCCTGGTCCTGTGGGTGCTCTGGGTGCCACCTCCAGCGCATGGGTCCGGAAACTGACTGGGCACTGCCTGGCCCTGGGGGAGGGGGAGGGGGAGGGGGGTCCGCACCCACCTGAGAAGCGTCCTGCGGGAAAACCGCGTCAAAGGCGAACATCTTGGGCGGCACCTGGCTGCCTCTCTTCTGGAAGGCGCTTTGACCTCCGCACGCCAGGGGGTCGGACAGCGTGACCTGCTTCTTGCGGGGGTCCACCTTCAGGAAGGAGCTGGACTCCGAGGTGTCGCGGGCCAGCGTGGAGCAGATGCGCAGCATGACCTTCACCTGTTAGGAAACAGGGAACGGGACAGACGTGGGCTGAGGCGGACGGAACGTGCATGGGGCCTTCACGTGATAAATGACGATGCGCCCGATGAACCCGCAGCACGAGCCTCCGTGGGCTGTGGGGGAGCAGGTGCGTTTACAGTTGCCGGGTGGCCCATTCTGTGTGCCCTGGGCTTTATTACAGAAATGGCACTCAGGTTCTTTGCCCCCCTATTCATATAGAGCGGGAAGAGCGGCACCCTGGTGGCCCAATTACGTAGGAGAAAAGGTCGCCCGACCGCCGCCTCTCGGGGCTGGTGTCGTCCCGAAGCGCACAGATCAATGAGCCCGGACATAAAAGTTAGCTCCGTGATTTGCTCCTCGCCTCCGCGCGTCGGGCCTCGGAGGAAAACCCACATGATTAGTGTCATCGTTAAGGGCCTGTGCAGGGGCGGCCTTTCACGGCAGCGTTTGAAGTGTGTTCCGAGGGAGCCGTGAGGAGAGGTTTGTTGAGCTGGTATTTGGGGTCCCATTAAGTGAGCGCATGGAAGCCGCCTCTTCAGGGCACAGAGGCACATCTCAGTGGGGGGCTGACCCACGCCTGGGGACGGCACGTGGACGTCGCCAGGGCTCATGACCGGCCCCCTCCCCACGGCCAACGTGCTACCTATGGGAACGCCCGCCTGCCCTGAGCCTGCGCTGAGCGGAGTCGAGCTGAAGCCACACACGCAGCTCTGGAGACTCGGGTCCTGGGACAGGGACAGCGCTGACGCCCTGACCAGCTCTCTGTTATGATGCCGCCAGTTCAGTCCAACGGTGTTGAGCACCTACTATGTGCCAGGCACCAGCCTAGGCATGAGGGCTGCAAAGACACGCGATACATAACGTGGCAGAGCAGACAGACCTTCTCTATGACAGGATGGGGCCCATTCTGAGCCTGTGCACTGATGTCTAAGTTCCCGATCTTTTAAATTTTTTTTAAATACGTTTTCATTCATTTCAAAGAGAGGAAGGGAGAGGGGGAGAGAGATAGAGAAACATCAATGATGAGAGAGAATCATCGATCGGCTGCCTCCTGCACACCCCCCACTGGGGATTGAGCCCACAATCTGGGCCTGGGCCCTGACCGAGAATCGAACCGTGACCTCCTGGTTCATAGGTTGATGCTCAACCACTGAGCCACACCGGCCGGGCGAAGTTAATTGATTTTTTTAACAATCAGCTTAGTAGAAACTGGTCTGGGCAAGGTCAGATCACCTAACCAGAAAGTCCACTTGGCATCATGTTTGCCTCCGTCCCAGCAGTCCTGGGATTACCTTTAAGCCTCCGCGTCTATTAAGTTCCTGAAACGTGTCTCCCAGGCAAGTCAGGGCCAAAAAGAAGGTTCCTCAGTATCCACCAGCCAGAAGCTGGTGGGGAGAGTAGAAGGGAGGCTGCCAGGGGGACTCCACACCCTAAGGAGCCTCCACCTGCTGGGACAGAGCAGCGACCTGCAGAGCACGTTCACCACTGACACCCGTCCGGGGCCTGCTTCCCTCCCCCGGGGCCGGGGCAGCGACAGGATGCTGGTGTCCTCATGTGAGTGTGCGCCCTGGGAATGCCGGCCATCCTGTGGCTCACGGAGACTCTGCTCCGATGGGAGAGCCCAGGGTTGCAGGCCCTGCCTGATGGCAGCGGAGACGCAGGCCCTGTGACCCTCAGTGCAGACCAGGAGGCCTTCCCTGGTTCGAGGTATTTTGGGGGGATTTAGCTCTTGAGGGAAAAATGTGGAGGGACATCAAGGGTCCATTGTATCTCATGAGCGCATCTCCTTTTTTACAGGCTCCAGGTGTAATGGGCCCTGCAGTGAAGTAGAAGCCAGGAGACTGGGTTCGAATCCAAGCTTCATCACCATTGAGTGGCTGTGTCATCCAAGGCGTGGGCCTCGGTTTCCTTACCCCCAAAATGGGCCTGTTGTGCCACCGCCCTTGAAGGGCATTTGCGAAGAAACAATTAAAGAGCCCAGCCGGCGTGGCTCAGTGGTTGAGCGTCGACCTATGAACTAGGAGGTCACGGTTCAATTCCCAGTTAGGGCACAGGCCCGGGTTTCGGGCTCAATCCCCAGTGTGGGGCGTGCAGGAGGCAGCCGATCCATGATTCCCTCTCATCATTGATGTTTCTATCTCTCTCTCCCTTTCCTTCCTCTCTGAAATCAATAAAAATAAATTTTAAAAAGAAACAAACAAATAAAGACAAGTAAAGCAGCACACAAATGTAAAATATTGTTCTAAGAAGGAAGGGAAGGAGGGGGGGAGGGAGGGAACTCGTATTCCTTTCTCTATCAAATGACTGACATCAGAAGCCTTTCTCCTAAGCTTAATTTTAAAAATTAAAGCAAAATATTCTTTCATGCAGACACATACATCGCAGCAGAGAGCAGATGATCCCTTCTCCCCCAACGATTAAATCAAAGGCTACACGTTTGCTGCATGTTTGTAACGGCGAGTAACCCACGTGAAACCTGCTCTGAGCATCTGAAACAGAAGTGAGTTCTTCCCTTACTTTACTCCCTTCTATTCTGTCCTGATCAGCTGTGACCGATGTGCTCACAGTGTCTGCTGAGGGTCCATCAGTCATTTCAGGGGAATTCTCCAACCGTTCCACGTAAGATGACAGACACTGAACTTTAAACTCCCTCCTCGATGTGTGCGCCTCCCAGCACACTCGCGTTTCTGATCAACCAAGACCAGCAGCCCTCCCCGTCCTTCTGTGCTCAGGACAGGCCGACAGAGCGACTGGGAATGATTTAATGAAGTGCCCATTTCTAAACCACACTGCAGGGGCGATGGGCGATTCCCAGGCCTGATTTAAAGCACTTTCCTCTTCTGATATAATTAATGTACGACTCCCTGCTAGCCCACCACGGGCACACTGCACCCCACTGCCAGCCCACCATGGGCACACTGAGCCCCACTGCTAACCCGCCACAGGCACACTGCACCCCACTGCTAGCCCACCGTGAGCACACTGGACCCCACTGCCAACCCACCATGGGCACACTGGACCCCACTGCCAACCCACCATGGGCACACTGGACCCCACTGCTAACCCACCATGGGCACACTGGACCCCACTGCTAACCCACCATGGGCACACTGGACCCCAGTGCCAGCCCACCATGGGCACACTGGACCCCAGTGCCAACCCACCATGGGCACACTGCACCCCACTGCCAGCCCACCATGGACACAATGGACCAAACTGCCAGACCACCATGGGCACACTGGACCCCATTGCTACCCACCATGGACACACTGGACCCCACCGCCCGCCCACCACGGGCACACTGCACCCCACTGCTTACCCACCATGGGCACACTGGACCCCACTGCTAACCCACCATGGGCACACTGCACCCCACTGCTAACCCACCATGGGCACACTGCACCCCATTGCTAACCCACCATGGGCATACTGCACCCCATTGCTTACCCACCATGGGCACACTGCACCCCACTGCTAACCCACCATGGGCACACTGGACCCCACTGCTTACCCACCATGGGCACACTGGGCCCCACTGCCAGCCCACCATGAGCACACTGGACTCCACTGCCAGCCCACCATGGGCACACTGGACCCCCTGAATGAGACCTCCCCTGCCCCCTTTAACTTACCCAACGTGCCCTCCTAACCTGATAGGAGAGAGAAGCAAATTAAAATTGGGTTTTATAAAAGGCAAAGGTTTAAATACTTTTCTAATGACATTTGGAGCAATGGTCTGAAGTTATTTTCTCTGAAGGAAGATCGTGATGGTTTCGTGGGACTGAAAGTTTCCAGAAGTTTCCTAGGAGACCACAAGAACCAGATCCCTGTAGCAATGACCTTGGAGGCCCCACCCCCAAGCCTGGGAGGGAGGCCAGCAGGCCTGCTCCCGAGTGACTGCGGGCGCTGTGAACACATTTGCAACGTCAGTGTCAGTGACACATGAAGACACAGTTACCGTTAAGGATCGCAGATCCGCACCTGCCGGGACCCCAAAGACGCTAAGCTCAGTGTAGTTGTTAGTTACAGAGCAAAGCCAAACGGGATGGAATTTCTCTGCATACAACACAGTACTAATCCGACGAGACCTATTCAAAGGTCACGGGGCTGTAGTCCCGGCAGGAAGTGCTGAGTGGGGGGATCCAGCGCCGAGTTTGGGGGTGGGGTGGGGTGAGACCCCGGGCCTAGTCTGGGGCCGTGTCTGCTCTGCTGACAAATCAACACCTCAGCCAGCCAGCCCTGGGCACCACCGTCATAATGTCTCTAAAAGTTCCACAAACTCACATTCACTAATGACTACTCCACGTGGCTCCCCGCCAGCTGTGTTAGGGGACAGCATTACCATCACCACCTGCACCCTCCTGAGGCTCAGGAGGCTGAGGTCCGGGCACTTCGGAGGCTGGTCCAAAGCCCGCTGCCCAGCAGAGGGGCAGGGGTGGGGGGGGGGCCTGGGGCCGGCTCCGCTGCGATAAGTGTCCGGGTCGAGCCCAGCCCAGCAGGGCCAGAGCAGCTCTCCCCTCTCCCCGGGGCTGGGCCTGGGTGAACCTCCTCTGAGGAGCGGAGGCTGTCCCTGCGCTGGGGACGCCGCCAGCTCTCAGAGGTGCCAGCGGGGCCCTTGTGTGGTCCCAGGCGGCCAGTAATGAGCCGCGAGGCCCTCCGAGAGGGAGATGTTCATGCGTGGACACCGGGCTGGGGATGGTGACAGTGGCGGCACAACAAAGCTCAGTGTGGCCAGAACGGAGCCGGGTAATGAGATGTTCTCAGGACAGAAGCGCTCAGGGAGTGGGGGGACGGAGACTCCCCAGAGCTCCTCGTCAGCAGGAACCTGTCGCCAGCAGGGACTGCGGCGCGGAGGGAGGATAAAGCCAGGGCAAGCCCTTCCCAGAGGCGCTGCATGGCACCGCAATTAGCAGGCGGCACAGCTGGCCCGGCTGGGAGACCAGACAGGCGTCCCGGGCCGGGCTGTCAGCAGAGGCCGGATCCTGACAGCCGCCTGT